AAAAAAAAAAAAAAAAATTATTTTTATTTAAAATTTGGTAAAGAATTTCGATGTGACCCTGAGGCGGAAGTTGTTCAGTTTATTTTTGTGCATAACAAGTTGTTTTTCGAATTTTTTCTAGGCTACCAGCCGGGCCGCCCGGGTCCCGGGTGGCCAGCCCGTGCAAGGACTCCCAGCAAAAAATAAATAAAAAAAAAATCTAAAACCTCCGAAAAAAAACTATGTTATGCAGAAAAATAAACTGAACAACTTTTGCCTCAGCGTCACATCGAAATTCTTTACCAAGTTTTAAATAAAAAACAAAGTTTAAAAATATTATTTTTATTTTTATTTTTTATATTTTTTTTGGCCCGGCCGGGCAAGTGACCCCGGGCCACTCTGGTAGCCTAGAATTTTTTTGATTTTTTTTTCGTTAGGGCCTTCTCTGGTCCTTGCACGGCCGGGCCGTCCGGGAAAATAGGGTGACCCGGACGGCCCGGCTGGTAGCCTAGCCTGTCACTATGCCTAAGCCCATAAAGGGGATCCCTGCAAGCATATCTACCTCTCACAATCAATCCGAGGCATGTTGCAGACTGGAAGCATTCGACGAAAAGAATGTGAAACACAAACAAATCGCACACACAGCACAACAGATTAAAAAGAAGAAGAAGAAGAAGAAGAAGAAGAAGAAGATAGCTGTAGAAAGCTGGAAGAGTAGGATAACTCGAAAAACGTCACTCTGTCCTGTGGTGGGGGGGGGGGGGGGGGAGTATACCAATTTGTCAACCGCACTTATGGGAGATCGAAATGGTTTTCTTTTCTCTTTTCCCCCTTCAACTGCAGCGTATTTTTTTCATTCCTAGGTAGTAGGTCTGCCATTGCATGTCAGAGGTTGCAATCTACTGGTGGAGCTCACCCTCCTTGTGTATTAATGCACGAAGACGGCCTGGCTTCTCTTATTGTACCTGTCTGGCATCTGAGGCTTTCTGCGGGTCGAGTATGTGGTACGATGGGCAGATTACTTCTACCTCTTTGAGGCAAGTGACGGTCAACGGCACCATGGTGGATTCTGGTTATGGCTTCCGGTTTTAGAATTTGTCGAACGCCTTCCTGAAAAGGATCATGGTGCGCCTACAAGGAATTAGAAGCGGACTTCTACCTTGGTTTGCTCTGACGCTACTCCAACGACCCCTTTTCTGTTTATCAGTTCCTCTTTCTCTCCCTTTCCTATTCTTCGGCAATCAACTGTTCCTCCAGTCATTTTTCCATCTTTGTCTTGGCGGTTTTCAAGACCTTTCCCAAATGGATCCTATCTACCACCCTGCTATGATCTCTCCTCCGTACGGATCTTTCTCCCTTCACTCCTTGCCTCATCCTTCTTTTCTCCTGCTGCTTCGATCCTTTTTCGCCGTCTACAATGAATGTTCGGTAGGAATGCTGCATGATGAATCGGGTGTCGTGCGGCGGTGGTTTTCAAAGTTGATGGCAAGGAGAGGAGGTATCTTGTGAATACAGTGTTTGCATATAGTATTTAAGGGAGATTGAGTGGCTCTTTGGTATGCGCATTTCATCCCCTTACGATACTGTCTCTGGCGGGCGGGTGGCGGGCGGGTGAAACAATCGTAGCGACTTCACCAGCATGGCACAAACTTGTGGTTTCGATGATTATATTACTGGTGCCTGCGCGCGCGTACCCATTTCTCCATGGCTCTATGGATCTGCTTCTTCTCCTTCTCCTTCTCTCACCGATTGATGGTTCTGGTTTGTTATTCGCTTTCCCTAGTGTCTTTCGTCTTTCACTTCTCCAGCCCTTTGCGCATTCTATCTAGTGTGTGTTACCCTTCTTACTGTGGTAGCGATTGTAAGCACAGCGTTAGTCGTTGATTGGTGTAGTCGTTGGTGGCTCTATTGACCATTCCTTGATCGAGCATCGGTCTTCTCCACCTTATACCTATAATCTGGGTAATTAGGTTGTTCCGTATTATCTCCCCATTTCACCCCCTTCTATCTCTCATCTCCTCGTTTCCTAACTAATTAATTTGTATGGAATCAACCATCTACTATTGAGCAGCTATTTTATCTTGTGCTAGTGGGCCGATTGCAATTGAATCGCGTTTTGTTGGATGTATGTATTGTTTTACGAGGGAACTGCCTCATCGTCTTCCTGATATGAGTGTCGATGGTCTTATCAGCATTTTCGTGTATGCTATCTCCTCTTAGTAACCCTCTCTGGTTTCTTACAATTGTTGACAGTCGGGCCTAATCAGATTTGTCCATTCCTTCAATGACAAGATGGGTTGATCACAAGTACTCGTGTTGGTTGGTACAGGGCCAGCTCATCGTCCTATGCTCCTCCCTAATATGCTCCTTCCGCTCCACCGATGAGTCAAATGCCAACTAAGCAACCAGAGTCAATCTTCTTCACCTACATCGACCACGATTAACTGTATAGGGCCTCGCTGCACTACTCTAGACTCTCAAAGTTTCGAGAGCGGGTCGTCGCTGCACTTACTCTCGATCGGGAAACTCTCGAAACCCGATCGAGAGCTGTCAGAAGGCACTCTATAGCGCCACTCTCGAAACGTCCAGAGTCGCCCGCCTGCAAGAAATGAATTTGCAAGTGCGCTCGCGAGTTGTCCGCCGACCGGCTCGTTTTTTTTCGAGAGTGAACCTCCTGTCCCGGCGGCCAGACCAGCCTGGCATTGTCCCGTAGCATAGTGGTACAGTTCTTCTGTGGAGTCTGACGACGCCTAGGGTTTCGAGAGTGCATCTAGTGTAACAGGTTCTAGAGTAAGTGCAGCGTTGGTGGGTATTTCGAGAATCTCATCTCTCTGACAATGCTAGTCGAACTCTTGAAATATTTCGAGAGTCTAGAGTAGTGGAGCGAGGCCCATAGGCTTGCTCCCAATCCTCCAGCGCTGTTGGTCCCCTGAGTTCCCAAGCAGCGCAACAATGATGGCGAAGTAGTTTCCTTGTGGAGAGAATCAAAGGGAGGAAAAGAATACGGCGGAAGAGGGAAGAGCAGGCTAGACTAACGAAAGAAGAAGAAAAAAAGTGTCTGGAGGGAGAGGAGGCAAGACAAGTCGAGAAGGAAGTTAGAATGGTGAGGATGATTAATATTGAGATGGAAGAGTTCTGAAAGCTTCTGTGGATTCAAGATTCAAGGTAGTAGTTGCTCATGGTTTTCTAAATCCCCATGAATACTCTCAGTTAACTCTTAGCCAAAGCTGGGCAATGGTTCCGGCTCTTTACATGTTTTGTTAAAGTCCATATGGGACGCTGGACCCGGGTTCCAGCACGTGCTGCTTCCCACGAATAGATTGGAGCATTTGTCCCAAAAAAAAAAAAAAAAAAAAAAAAGATAAGCAGCATCAGGCCCGTACTGAAGAAGAAGATAGGAAGATCCAGATGAAAATTGAGAAAGTCGTAAGAGTACCTAAACGAGGTAGACCGGGGAAGGAGGTAGTTAGTGACGATATAGATAATCCCAAGAGATCCTAAGCAGAGATGGAAAGCTCACTGCCCGTTCTGCCTACATAAGGCAATCCTAGTATTGCGAAGCTTGCAAATGTGCGTCAACAAACGAAGGCTTTAGACGTATGACTCCTCCTTATGGAAATTGATAATGTTAAAAGGTGGGAGGATGCGCAAGTTAGCTTGGGCAGACTAGTACTTTCTCCCAAACTGGTCCTTCAAGTCCACCCCTCGTTACCATTCGAGTAATCTGACTGCTCCTCCCCCTCCTCCTTCTCCTCCTTCCCCTCCTCCCCTCCACTTCCTCCACCTCCACCTTATACTAACAAGAAAAGTGTGCCCAGGTCTGCGGAACTGAGCTCTTCTCCTGGAAGGGATGATGAGAACAAGACTCCTGTCGGTAACAGGTTCTCTGGTGGGACCATGTTTGCATTCGTGGCTAGCAACGTGGCTCAAAGGAAGTTTGTAACACCCCGCCGGGGACCGGCCGACACGGCTCGGCCTGCTCCTTGCGCGACACGTCAGGGCGGCTCCCCCGTCATCTGATGTGGCCTCTAAGCTGATCGGTTGCGCCCCACGTGGCGTGTCATCTGCGGACCTCTTGGGAGGGGTGAGGTCAGTAAGGAGGGGTATTACTAGGTGTGTGTAGGGGTGTGTGACATGGGGTGAAACACACACAGGGGTGAGAATTGAGTGGCGATTGGCGATGGCGTGTTCGGGTGAACTACAAACAGGAGCTGCTGCGTGGCCTATAACTGTCCAAGAGAGTAGCGCGTGTCTAAGCCAGGCGGTGACGAACCTACGATCGGCCGCTGCCAAAAGGATAGTACCGTCGATTTCGTGGCTCCAGAGTGTGTAGCAGTGCCTACTGGAGGTCACATGGGGGTTGAAGGAGGGGCCACCCCCCCACCTGGATGCGTTTATGGACTGGCCACGATTGGACAGCTTGATGCGGCACTACTACGAGGAGCTTGAGGAGGGGCAAGATCTTTGCGCCGCGCTGGAGGACCGATACTACGATAATGGCGACAACATCACGGACGACGCTAACAACAACAACTCCATTGCGAACGACGCCATCAAGACCAACAGCTGCGACAACAACAATCTCAACTACATCGCCGATAACCACAACCACAACAACAACAACAATAACTACAATAACAACAAAACCAACAACAACAACGATGACAATAATGATTGTACCGATAACGACGACGACAACGATCACCCCGAAGACGGCGACAACGCTCTCATTGAGGCCATCAACAACAACAACAACAACTTCAGCGACGGGGACAACAACAACAACAACAACAACAATGATAACGGCAATAACTGCGATCTTCGTGAAGATGATACTAATGTGCGCATCGAGGTCATCCAGGTCGTCAACACCAATGACGACGACAATATCAGCTATGAAGACAACAACAACACTAATTCGGACGGGAGCGATCACCTTTTTGCGGGTGATATGCTAGCATTCTCCAGGATGCACCTACTGATCGGTGGGGGTAGGCCTCTTTGGGAGGGGATATTTCTGCGCATGCTGATGAGTATCTGGCGCTGCTCGTATGGGCGATATACTATTGCATCGCTTCCATGGGATCCAGGAGGGAGGGTCGCAGGATAGGACAGCGGGCTTAGGATTGAGGATGCCCTTATTTCTACCCTCTTTTGGTATCTGGAGGGGGACGCTAAAATTGGTATAGATGAAATCCTGCCTGCCAACCTAGGATCTTCCTTTTCTTTGATGTTTTCTGCATAACTCACCTGTCTTGGCTACCTTCTCTGACTGCTACTCCTCATGGGGAGAGGCTTTCGGAATAGGGAGCAACATCCTGCTATAAACCTGAGTGGACAACTGGACCGACATGTGGGCACACACCATTAACTGATGAGCAGCATTGGTTGCCCTCAACCGAGAGGATTAACTGCCCATCATAGTCTGAGATCATATCCATACTCTGAGTCTCTCACCATCTACTTAAAAACCTTTGCAGCGCCATGAGGAGGAGAGGCTTTCGGAATAAGGAGAAATTTACGCAGATGGTGAGGGACTCGGAGTAGGGATATGATCTCAGACTATGATGGGCAGTTAATCCTCTCGGTTGAGGGCAATCAATGATGCTCATCAGTTAATGGTGTGTGCCCACGTGTCGGTTCAGTTGTCCACTCAGGTTTATAGCAGGATGGACACGTGGCATGTCTACATGAGTTCTATATTGTTTAGAGACCAATCATTTCTAAATGTCAAGGGACGCTGGACCCGCTTTCCAGCAGGTGTTGCTCCCCACCAATAGATGGAGCCTCCCCGAGCATGTTAGTGGTGTCTGCTCCTATCAGCACCCCTAGCATTTACTCGGGGTGTTTTTCAAAAAAAAAAAAAAAAAGAAAAAAAAAAGAATAGGGGGTTGCCCTATTCTGGGGCAGGGGCTGGTGTGTGGGCCAACGTTAGTCCCAGCGGAGGTAGAAGTGGGCAAGGGGTGGCTGGGGGCATGCTTTAGGTGGGCACTGCGTGCTCCTGGGGAAAGGGGGGTACAGGGTTGGTCCTATATTGGGGCCGAGGGAGAGTGGGTGACTCTCCTCGGCGGAGGCAGTGTAGGGCTGAGGGGGGAGGGGGAGGGAGAGGGAGGGGTGATCTCTCTCGAAGAATTCTAACATCCAGTTTATTATTTCTTTCCATTTGGTTTGCCTCTCGAAGAGGTTGTAGGAATAGGTGCTATCTGGCAATTCATCTGTGATCCTGCGAAGGGTGATCAACTTTTGTGGCCCTTGAAGACCGATGCTGGAGCAACGCTGGCCGGAGCCGGAGCCAGGTGGCGCAACTCTGTGACCTAGCTTAGTGGGGGCGTGAGGCCTGGTAGAGAGATCTGGGGGTCTGTTTGCGGGGGCAGTGTGGCATACTGCGCAGCCACACGGGCCTGCAGGGCCTGTCCCGCAGTCTCAACCTAAAAGCCTAGAAACAAGGGCTTACAGGGCCCGTGTCGTTTCAGCCTGAAAGACTGAAAAACGAGGGCCTGCAGGCCCTATGTCGTTTCAGCCTAAAACAGGGCCTTCCAGGTCGTGAGTCTTTTCTGCCTGAAACGGAGGGCCACTTTCGGGCCCTCATAAGATCGACCTGCCCTAACACTCAGGCACCAAACCAGGGTTTCGGGAACAGGCTATTTTTGGCCTGTTCCCACGCCAGCCTCAGCAG